CCCCCCTCCCTCTCCTCCCTCTCCTCCCCGCCGCCATGAGGAAGAAGCCGAGGTTCCATTCCTTGAAGAAACTCGTCAGCCATCCTCTCTATATGAATTAGTCCTTGTCTAATGGCCGTACAGAAAATCAGACAGGACTGGTCCCGCTGGACCCTCTACAACCTCTCACGTCTCAATCCTCCGAATCTCGCTACCAAGACCTACTTCCAGCAGAAATGGACGGCCAAATCCGACACGCGCGCCTACCACGGCGAGCAGATCCGTGAGAAGCAGTGGAAGCGCATGTTCCGGCGCAACCTGCCCGCCGTCGTGCCCATGGACCACAAGTATCTGGCTCGATACGATGGCTCTGAGCAGGCCGCTGGCCGGGGCGCCGGAGCCGACGCCATGGAGAAGACCAAGACCCCGCCCATGACTCCGTATATGCAGATGACGTACTACCCAGTGGAAAGGAGGCTGGATACTGCCGTTTTCAGGGCGCTGTTTGCGAGCAGCGTGCGTCAGGCACGGCAATTCGTCGTCCATGGCCTGGTCAAGGTCAATGGGAAGAAGGTGTGCATGTTGAGCCCGCTCCCAACCTTGACCCATGGAGAGCCCAATCCAGACTGACGCTTCCTCAGATGATCTACCCTGGATACATGCTCAACCCCGGCGACATGTTCCAAGTCGTCCCCGAATCCGTCATGATGGCAACCGGTGCCCAGAAAACTCGCTCTTCCGTCGCCCGCCGCATCGCCAAAGAAAAAGGCACCGCCTACGCTGAAAGCCGGAAGGGCCAGGGTCGCAGCAAGACGGCCTCCGTCAAAGTGCCCCTTCTTGCCGATGCTCTCGCAAGCACGCCAGAGGCTCAAACCCCCGTAGCTGAAGAGAAGGAGCCTTCCCCTGAAGAACTGAAGAAACATCTCCAGACACTAATGGACAACGTCGAGGGCGTCCTTGCCGAAGAAGTGAAAGCAAAAGACAAGCAGAAACTCCGAGAATTCAAGCAGACAGTCCGCAAAGCCATTTCCCTCTGGCGCACATCGACTCCCTCGCAGATCTCGACACTCGACTCCCAATTCTCCTTTCTGAAGTCCCACCTCACAAGCAGCAAATCAGCTCAATCCGACTCTGCATCTGGCCCCGAGGTGCGACTAACACGCGAAGAGGAACTTAAGTTATCCAGGGCTTTTGATAGGCTAAAGGAACAAGCCGAATTCGATGCGAATTGGAATAAACGCGATCCTTCGAAGCCATACCTGACGCCCTGGCGGCCGAGGGATTACATGTCTGCCTTCGCATTCATACCACGATATCTGGAGGTCAATCAGAATATATGCGCTGCTGTCTATTTGAGACATCCTGTCGCTAGGCCTGGCTTAGCGGAGGTCCCGACGCCGTTTCCGCTTGAGACAGGGCAGTTGGCGTTCAACTGGTACTTGAGGAGGCGGTAGACCACGTATTTGTATCATAGACATGTAGCATATTTGTGGGTATGTGCAATATCATCGACAATCTCAAGAGCGTTTGGGAAGCTGTCTGGTTGACAACCCTGTTGGCCCCCCTCAATAACACGCTGGATGTGAGTGTCTTGAATTTGCTTTCACAGCAATTCAATTCCACATTTGGCCGATGAACAGATGGACATCTGCCGCTGATAGCAGGTCTACATTGATCTACCGATGCTTCCCAACTGTAACCGAAGAAAATGCAGTACAGTACAGTGCAAGAACTGCAAATATTAGTAGGGGAGTTATAATCCCCTCGCACCCTTTGGTATAGTGCGGCGCCTCTTAAAAGAGAAAAGCAAAAAGCCCTTTGCCAATGATGAATAAGAATCTGAAATCGTACAATGCATGACATGGTAAGCGTGACCGAGAAACCCCCACTGCTCCAAACACCTGGGAACCCGATAGATGGAAAGAAGAAGAAAAACTACAGCGGAAAATACCTGTCATACCGGACGAGATTGGTCGGGCCGCCGACCAACTCCTATATCACGGGACATTGCCTTTTATATAACTTGCGTGTGGCACGATACCGGTCTTGAGCCGGTCGCCTACCAATTATACATATCTCGCCCTCCAAACAACGCCGTGCCATACAGGCTCTGTCCCCAGCCCAATACTTTAATTTTTCGCGTTTCCGAAATTCGTCTCCGTTGTCTCGGCGAATTGATCTGCGTCCCTGGTCTCCCCTCCTGTGCCGGCGTATCGTAGAGTCTCCGCACTCGGACGTGGGCTCACATCAATTACACTGCTCTCGGGTGTCCACCGTGTACTGCCAGATGATGTGGATGGTGTGTATTGTCGGAAGCCGTTGACGACAACATCGGACATGTCTTCGTCCTCTTCGTAGGCTGGAGGCTCGGTTGATGTGTCTGAGCGATAGTCTGGGAGGCTGTTCGTCCGGGAGAGCGGGCGTGAGGGGAGTGAGGGGAGAGAGGAAGATGTGTATGCGGAGGAAACAGGGGAGTAGTTGGGGCTAGGGACGTGTGCGTGGGCATGGCAGTGGCAGGGGATGTGCATATGCATGTGGGCGGTGTTGCATCGAGGATACACGCCTCGACCTTCCTCGGCTTGCACGATGGACCTCACGACGCCGTGGGCCTCGCGGAGTTGCCGGATTTCCTCCTGCATGGCGTCTTCCAGGACGGATTCTTGTTCCTGGATGAGCGCGCGCTTCTCCTCATAGTCGTCGATGCGGTCTTGATCCCGCCAGTTGCGACGCCACCATTTGCGCCATGCGTGTTGACGAGCCGCACGACGGTACGCTCGTTCATTGGCGCGTTCCTCGCGAAGGGCGGCGCGTTCAGTGCGAGTGCGGGGGGAGCTGCAGCGGTGACGGATCACAGCGAAGAGGCACCCACAGCACAGAACACCTGCTATGATCTTGATAGCGAGGAAATACGGAGGCTCGGGTGGGCCATGGTGACGAGGAGGAGGTGGGGGAGGTGGAGGGTGGTGACCAGGTTTATGATGCGGTGGAGGTGGAGGTGGAGGGCCATGGTGGGGTGGGTGAGGTGGTCCATGAGGTGGTGGCGGAGGTACCGATTCAACATTAGCTTCCGGAGCTTGGTTGTGGTTACCAGCGCGCCAGACTCGATCATATGGATCTTGCTCATCGGGACGACCCATTTCATGGCCGTGGTGGTGATGAAGAGGGCGGAAGCGGATGTAGATGATTCTCCAGGCACCGTGTGCTTTGTGGGCGATGGCCTTGATAACGCAAGTGACGCTATCACACTCCTGTAGTTCTTCTTTCAAGCTTTGGGCTTCTTTCTTTAGCTGCGATTTGATATGTTTCCTCTTCTCCTTGATGACCTCGTGCAACTCTTGGACCTCGGCTTGAAGGATCCTGAGTTCACGGATTTCGTCTTCAAGGGAAAGCTGGCCTGGGATATCACTGGACTTGAAGTGGACGTTCTCAGGGGGTGACAAGATCAATCGAAGGTGAGGTGGAGGTTCACGCCAGGTCTCGGCCTGCTCTTTATTACTGGCCGAGCGGTTGGGAGTGGCTTCGAGTCTTAAGAGCTCAGGTGGGGAGAGCTGCTTGAAGGAGACGGTGAAACCGGAAGGCCTATTGAGCACTTTACCATCAATACCTTTGATAGTCACAGTAAGGACTTGTGCGGCATCGTTCGCGTTCTCCTCTGTAGCGGTTTCGTTGCCGTAAAGACACGCCGACTGCCACTCAAGATCCAAGTCGTGCTGGAGGAACCAGGCATTCTCCTGGATGTCGGGTACCCCTCTGAAAGATCCTGAGCCTGAGGCGAGGTCACCGTTCCATTCTTGGGGCAAGTAAATGCCGTTCAAAGTAATGTTAGAAGCTCCGCATGGTTTTTTGGAGGAATGTGTCTTGAAACTCAGTATCTGGGAAGCGGTAAGCTCAATTGTTCAATTGTATTGTTGCCTGAGGAGGGCCCATACAAGAGAGTCGTCATCATGGCCCGTGTCATCTTGGCCAAGACATCCAGCACATGGAACGCTGAATGTAGCTTGAGCATAACTCTCTTGGAGGTCTGCATGTCTTTAGCAGGTGCCTAGAGGAGGCAAAGAGACACGAGTATAAGAGAGAAGGGTCCGTACCTAACTCCAAGATGGGTTGCTTTCCATCAGTTCGGATGAGAGCGTGATCGTGACCCTGGACTGCCGGAAGTGCAGCGCTGAGAGCCGGTAGAGCCCATGCCACGGCTGTCAGTACTTTCTGCTTGAAGGACCGCATGGCTTGAAAGGAACGAAGGAAAGAACAAATGCAAAGAAAGGAACGGCTAGTCAGCACAGCACGCAGCAACTACAAAAGCATAAGGAATCAAGGTGGTCTCAAAGAAAATGGCAGAGGTAAGAACAGCGTGTTCTTAGGGGATCAGGCACCAGCAGAAGGGCGGTGGGAGGCTGTGATGGTTTTACAGGGCGCAGAAGGCGATGGAAACCCCAGCCATCAGCAGCCCGTAACCCCCGAAGGATGGACGCGTGTCGCTGGAGCGCCAGTGTGGCCAGGGTGGCAGAAAGGGTCGTGCGGCGGGGCTGAGCACATCGGGTCACGATTCAGCGCGAAAGCGAGAGCGTGGATAGTGGATGGTAGATGGTAGATGGTAGATGGTAGATGGTAGGAGGGAGTAGTCAGGAGCAATATTTTGCAGAAATGGAAAATAGGGGAGAGAAGAGCTCAAGTCGGTGCTCTATTGTTCTTGACAGAAAGCAGAGTGTGCGAGTTGGGCTTGAATGGAGCAGATTCAACATCGAAGGGACCGCGCGAAGGAGCATTCAAGCCGACGCGTGACTTGAGTATCCCCAGGGCTGTTCCTGTGTGCATCTCGCAGACAAGCTTATCTAATGGGACCTGCAGGTGTGCTTGATGAGCAATGCAGAGGATTGGGGTCCATTTTGGGATGGATTGCGAATGCTGCAGATGAGCTGAAAGTACGACGACGTTTCAGGAAACATCGAAAAATACCGCGAGCATTTCAACGGTCGTTTCATCAATCATTGGGCCAATTAAACTTTCGAATCGCTGCTACTCGATGGCAGTGATTGGTGGTGCAGTGAGGTGACGACGCACGCTCTGAACGTTCACTTGTGGGACCCCTCCACATGTGGCCCAAGCTCTCTCTCGCGACAACAATTCTCGCGTGCCAACCCTCTCTCACCAGATCGATACCTAACCGCCCAGCCACCCCCAGAAAGAAGCTCTCGATCTTCGACCCTTGGTCACCTCGAATTGCGCATAGTCCTGCCAAGTACTATTCTGGGCACTCGTGCTGCGCGACCTGGATTATCACCATGGTGGTAGGTTTCCCCCCCCCCCCCACGCTTGTCGTGATCGACCGTGACCTCGACAGAGCTTCAATCGCTTACATGATTCTCACAGCTGCCCTTGGGCCTCTTGACGGCCGCCCAGGGCCATCCCATGCTAGTCGAACTGAAGAATGGCGAGACACTGAACGGCCACCTCGTGAGCTGCGACACGTGGATGAACCTAACGCTGAAGGAAGTCGTGCAGACCAGTACAGATGGCGACAGGTTCTGGCGGTTACCTGAGATTTACGTGCGAGGAAGCACTGTGAGCCTACTCTATTAAAAAGCTTCCCGTTTGTTCACACCGATAATAACGTCGCATAGATCAAGTTTCTTCGCGTGCCCGATATCATCGTTGATGTGGTCAAGGAGCAGCAGGCCAAAGAACAGGCGACTCGTGCAGCACGCGGCGGCGGAATGCAGTCCCGAGGAGAGTATCGCGGCGATCGTGGAGGCCGGGGCATGCGCGGGCGTGGCAGAGGTCGCGGTCGAGGCGGAGGGGGAACATGAAATACAGGCACAGCTTCCAATCGTCGAAGACATAATATCAAGAGGACTCCCGCTGCTCTCGGTATTCTTACACAAGTGGCTATTCATGGCTCTCATGACCAATTCTAAAGCCCCCATCAGCCTCGCAAATGGGAATATAGAGCACCTACCGGATCCGGGCCATGCCTCGGCTTTTGGCTAGCATGTAACCAGGGCAGCCATCTTGGTGGACCACTGCGCCTCAGAAAACCAGTGCCTATCCAAACTTGTCTTATTGAGGATATCAGAGCGAATGAACATGACTCAGATGCAGCCTCCTCAAGCCCTGGGACCAAAAATTCCCATGATACAACAAATCACAGCAGTGTGCAAGTCGTTCTCAAGCCCTCAAATATGCTGTGTCAGCCGAACAAGCCTTTCCTTTCACGTAGTGCGGGGTATTTGCAACTCGGTACGAACCCCAACACTACTTGACTTCTGGTTTCGGAGTACGACTCTCACCTGCAGCTTTCGCAAGACTTGGCGTGTGCTATCGCTCTGTTTATATGTGTAGGACACTGTTCTGCTTTCGACTAGTACTGCATCAGCCTTTCAGCACATCTGCTCCCACACTCACCCATACAACCATCCAGCATGACGAGCTTCACTATCTCCGACAGCGATCTCCAAGGAGTAAAAGATAAGGTGGTTATTGTCACAGGTCCACTTTCGCCTCACCTCTCCTGAGCCCGGCGCTGATTATGTGAAGGTGCTGCCTCCGGCATTGGCCTTGCCACCGTCAAGCGTCTCTTGAGTATCGGAGCAAGGGTTGTTGCATCCGATGTGAACGAAATGCCAGAGCCAGAGAAGTCTCAAGTGACCTTTAAGAAAGTCGATGTTACATCTTGGAAAGAGCAGCTTGAAATGTTCAAAATGGCTAAGGAGAAGTTCGGTACTATCGACCACGTTTTCGCTAATGCAGGTATGCATTGCTCTCGGTCTTGAGCTCTTCTTGCCTAGCATGGATCACTCGACTTATATTTGGCCAGGAATCTCGCCAACGGTCAACCTCCTCGAGGAGGATGTAGATGAGAATGGCGACCTCCTACCGCCGAAGTTGAACACAATCAACGTCAACCTTCTTGGTTGCATGTACACGACCAAACTAGGGATCTACTATATCAAGCAAAACCTAGAAGGAGGTTCTATTGTGATGACAGGCTCGGGATCAAGTAGGGCTGGCGAACATGTTCCCCTCCCTTACAGCATCACCCTCTAACTACGAAATACTAGGCTTCAGGCGGTTCTCTCCTACAGATTACAGTGAGTATCAATCCGTGACCGGAAGCATGCCCAGCTGACTCGTTTGTAGCCACGTCAAAACACGCTGTTCTAGGTATGGGGTTCATTAGCTGCAGTGACATTCCCGGGCAAACTAATCTGAAAAGGCATGCTCCGAGCACTCTATGGGAACCTCTACCCTAAAATCCCTATTCGCATAAATTCTATTGCACCTAGCTGGACAGACACGGCCATCGTTCCACGGAACGTCATCCCTGTTATTGGAGAAGATGGGATCCAATCGGCTGATGTGGTGGCTCGGTCTGTTATCGTTCTCATGGCGGACCAAGACAGGCACGGCGAAATGATCTACTCTGATCGCGGAAAATTCTGGGACATTGAAAACGGTGAGGTGGGGTTGAATAGGTACGCAAGTAAAATGCTGGGCCAGGAGGGTGTGGGACCGGAGGAGGAGGTTTCAAGGCGACTGAAGAAGATGACGGAAAATATGGCGGGGGCAGCGGCTGCTACTGCAAAGAGTTAGGGGAAGGCTTCTCTGCGTCACATATCAGATAGCGAATCTTCAGTGCAAATAGAAAATAATTTATGGCAACAAGCGAGGTTCCAGTCGATATGCAAAACTCAATGTGCGAATGCCCCTCCATAAGAATTGCGGACACATTAGTGAAATGGTGTGATTGGCTAGCCCAGCGCGTGGAGCTAGCAATCGCGGTCTCGCGTCATCACCTGCACCACTTTGGTTCTTCACCAGGACATCATGGGCTGACATGGCCACCATCAAGCCCATCGAGGGCCGCTCTGTAAGCACACCATGTAGGTATGCTCGGCATGAATATTGACTCGGTTTGAAGGTCCATCAGATCCAGTCTGGCCAAGTGATTGTAGACATCTGCTCCGTTGCTAAAGAGCTTGTGGAAAACAGCATCGACGCTGGAGCGACTTCAATTGGTACGGCCTGAAGAATTGTTTGCAGCGATGGTGTCGTGTCTGACAGCTCCTGTGCAGAGGTTCGCTTCAAAAACCATGGCTTGGACGCTGTTGAAGTCCAGGACAATGGGGCGGGGATTGCGCCAGAAGACTTCGAGACAATAGGTACACCACCACACCTCGTCCACCCCACACAACATGTCTTGCTGATTACTTCAGCTTTGAAGCACCACACGTCTAAACTATCCACCTACGATGACCTTTCCGCCCTTCGCACCTTCGGCTTCCGTGGCGAGGCCCTTTCCTCCCTCTGCGCCCTCTCTAAATTCCACGTCATCACGGCCCGCGCCAGTGATGGGCCGAAAGGTACACGGCTCGATTTCGACATGTCGGGAAAGCTCAAAGGAACTTCGGTCATTGCTGCGAAACAAGGCACAACCGTAGTGGTGGAGAGCCTGTTCTACAATCTGCCGGTGAGACGCAAGGAGCTCGAGAAGACAATCAAGAGGGAGTATAACAAGGTACTGGCATTACTGAATGCGTATGCATGTATTAGCGCAGGCGTTAGGTTCTCAGTGAGTAATCAGATGCCGAAAGGGTTTGTAGCTTAAGATCCCGCACTTGGATGAGACGCAACTGAACGGTGTGCAGGAAGAAAAGTATCGCCTTCTCAACCAACTCAAATCCCAACACCAAAGAGAACATCGCCAATGTCTACGGCACCAAGACACTACTTGCGCTAATCCCCCTCGACCTAAAGTTCGAAATGGACCCGTCAAACAGACCTAGACCCACGCAGAGCGCCAGGAATTGGAGCACCAGAGAGGACCCAGGGTCCCGAGAAGTCAGCATTGTCGGCCACATTTCCCGCCCGGTTGTCGGTGAAGGCCGGCAGACTCCAGACCGCCAGATGTTCTTCGTCAATTCCCGCCCCTGTGCACTCCCGCAGGTAGCCAAAGCTTTCAACGAAGTTTACAAATCCTATAACATCACCCAGTCGCCATTCATATTCGCTGATATCAAGCTTGACACAAATGCTTACGATGTCAATGTGTCTCCAGATAAGAGGACTATATTATTACATGATCAAACGACACTGCTAGAAAATTTGAAGGAAGCGCTTGCTGAGCTCTTTGGGAGCCATGACCAGAGCGTTCCTCAAGCTCAGCTTATGCCTCAAAAGGTCCTAGGCTTTAAGCCCTCGCCTATGCAAAGAGGTGGCACAGACTCTACAGTACGAAATTCTCCTGTGCCAGCCAACGTTCCCCAAAAGCCTCGACCGGCGCCGGAAGCTGAGGCGCTTACCTTGTCTTCAGCTTCTGAAGAGATCCCTCCTCAACGAGGTTTCATCAAAGCCAGCCTAATCGAAAGATCTACAGGCAGAGGTACAGAGGAGAGGGCTTTACGCCCTCATGCGAGACAGCAAAGAAAGCCGATATCTCCAGACCCTCCTTGTATATCAGGTCCATCATCACAGGACTTGGAGCCTCTGGTAGAGGAACCTGCACCGGATCCAATTGAGTTTGAACTGACACCTATCATACCCAGTGCCCATGTAGAGCTTCCAAGAGCAGTCCAAGATTTCAACGCTCGGATAGCGTCCCAACATGCAAAGCATATGGCACGAGACCGATCGCCAAGAGTTTCAGGTGCTGATGACAGTGATGAGGGTGAACAAGAAGAGAATGTTCCTGCCGTAAAACAAACGCCACGAAAACGATTGCCGCAAAGTAACATCCAAAACGCATTCGATAGGATGCGTCCAATGCGAACACCGGCTCAACAAGCTACTATCACCATTGGTGATACTACAACAGTGTCGACCATTGGAAGCCAATCTAGGGCATCGAGACGGTCTAGGATCCACATTCCCAAGTTCTCGTTGAGCGGGACTCCTTTGAGTCAGGCGCCAAAAAAGCCATTGTTTATGAGAAACCAAGGTGGCCTCTCGGTCTCGGGTACCCAAATAGAACAGAGCGACGACGAGGATGAAGACGAAGACTTTCAAGAGGCTGCGGGTGAGGATAGTAGTATGCCTGACGCACCTGTTCCTAACAATCCCTCACTGGAGAAGAAGAAGCACCATTCGACCAACATGGTAGTTCATGAACCTAACTCAGACTCCTTATTCGTTGAATCAAGTGACCAGCCCATACCCCCTCCTCCACCACTCGCTGAAGGCCTACAGGAAGAAGATGAGGCGCAGCCTGAGCCTGGTGGTGAAGATGACCGTTCTGACAACGAGTACATTAACGAAGCTGAAAAGAAAGCAAGAGAAGAAGCGAAAATCATGAAGATGATTGCTGAAGCTGAAGAATCTGCTGCGCGTCCAACGGAACACAATCTCAAACGTGCAACAAAACTTTTCCAAGGTCCAAGGAAGCAATACATGACGACTGGATTTGTCAGGTTTGTAGAGAGTTCTGCCAACGATATCACTCGCCAAGCTCTGAATCTGTCTGCTCTCATTGGAGGAGAGCGGGCTGAGCCAATAACTGATGTCCCATCAAGCACACAACTCAGCACATCAAACCCCGAGGAGCAACTCTCTCTCACAGTCACAAAGTCTGACTTCCACTCTATGCGCATCATCGGCCAGTTCAATCTAGGTTTCATCCTCGCCGTCCGTCCCGCAGCACCCACATCCCCTAGTCCAGATCTCTTTATCATTGACCAACACGCTTCCGACGAGAAATACAATTTCGAAAGATTCGCATCAGCTACGGTCTTGGTCTCTCAGCGTCTCGTACATCCGCACCCGCTGCAACTAACAGCCATTGAAGAGGAGATTATCCTCTCTAACGAAGAGGTTTTGACCGCCAATGGATTCACAGTATCAGTCGACAACACCGGCTCAACACCGCTCGGTGGCCAGCGCGCAAAGCTACTGACCCTCCCCATGTCCAAAGAAGTAACCTTCACACCGGCAGACCTCGAAGAACTCCTAGCTCTTCTCGCAGAGAACCCGCCTTCCGCCAATATCTCTGAACAATACATCCCTCGTCCGAGTAAAGTGCGCAAATTACTTGCGAGTAGGGCATGTAGAAGCAGTGTTATGGTTGGCAAGACCATGACGAAATCGCAGATGGAACGTGTGGTTAGGCATATGGGGGACATGGACAAACCGTGGAGTTGTCCACATGGACGGCCTACCATGAGACATCTTTTGGGACTGGAGAAGTGGGTGAGTTGGACTGAGGGAGGAGGAGTGGTGGGATTGGATGAGGTGGAAGAGAGAGTGGATTGGAGCGCGTATGTAAGGAGGCGGGCTGGTGGTGGGGAAGTGGGAGTTTAGGAGCAAAGGGATAAGGGCTAATGGGCCGGGGGAACTTCAAGTGGTGAGTTCATCCGAGGTAAAGTAATTTTTTTTTTTTCATTTGTGTGAAAAAAACGTCGGTCGCAGAATATCAACCTAGGAGTATAATATCCAGATGTTGGTAAATATATCATTGTTAGCATCTTTGCTTACGCTTTCCTACGTCCGGGATACAAAGGAGAGCAGTGCACCAAAGTTTCAAGAGAAAAAGGTATCTATATTACGTACCATCTCAAGCCTAGGTTCTGCATACCAAAAAAAGGTCTAACTCCAAAGATGCACCATCATCCCTCCGTACTCATCCTGTCCTCCACATCACAGGTCATAACCCAGTCCAGAAGCCACCCCCCAAGGACTCCATATACTCCAGCTACAGCACTCCTTTACCTTGCAGCACATATTCATTCGCCGCAGCCATGACAATGCCCAAACCAACCCATCTTAGATCTTGTACACAATCCCACCAGAATACATAATCTTATTCCTCTCACTCAACGTCTCCAGCGCGCTTTCCGCCTCCTGCGTTTCAAACGCGTGTCTGCCAGCTCCGCTTCCGACCCTCGCATTCACTGCCGCAACAAGAGGCTCCACATCGGCGGCATCGTTTGCAAACAACGGGCCGTCAATAAGTTGACCGAGTGCAGTCTGGAAGACTTGGAGACGGGCCGGTGTGATGCCAGATTGCGATTGTGATTGAGACTCAAGTTGCGTAGCTGGTAGTTGTGAGGCCGGTAGGGAGGAGGCAGCGGAGACTTGGGACGAAGATTGGTTTTGCGTTGGCCCGCGCGTTGAGGATTTAGTTGTGCGTTGAGTACGCGGTGTTAGTCTGTACAGATCATCGTTGTCGTCTTCATCATTGTCGTCGTCATTATTAGCAGGTGTTGACCCGCTTTTTCCTCCAGAGCGCTGGCTCCGAGTACTCGGCCCACCACTACGGTGTGGAGGCGTAGTCTGGCGAGCTTCATCGCCATCCTCATCATCAGGTCCAGAGCTATCGTCATCTGTGGACATGGCATCGGGATCGCGGGCTATTCTCCTCCGCTTATGGCGCTCTGCCTCGACGACCTCTTTGAAGAGTGCAAAACGAAGGATTTGCTCGGCGACGTCTGCGTCTTTTTGCTCCACGCGCTTAGACAGACGGGCTTTAGCGTGCGCGGTCGAGAGACGGATTAGCGTTTCTAGCGTACGTGCGGTAATAGGCGAGGTACGACGGGTACCGGAGTCGAGCTCATCGTTGCGAAGAGCGGAGTATGCGGCTACAATGTGGTCCGCTGCCCCCTTCGTAAGAATAGGTTTCTCACGCTTGGCGTACTGAATGAATTTCTTGATAAAGGGAATGCTGAGGACTTCTGTTCGGCGCGAGGAGCCACGACCCACCGTAACTGTTACGCCTGAGTGCAACATAGGATTGAATTTCTCGTAGACTTCGGTGGGACGGTTGCTCTCCGTGTCGATGTCAAGGCCGACTCCGAGAAGCTGCGCGCCTTCTTCACGGACGGGAGCACCTTCCTCAGTGCCGGGTTGACGGTAACGATGCATGCGGAGGACGTGTTCTGAGATCTGGCGGTCCCGGGCATCTTCAATGTCATCTGTTACAACAAAGAGCAAATCGAAACGGGAGAGTAGCGAATCTGGAAGCGCGATGTTGCGATGGGGGTCTTTGTGGATGTCATACTGCCCAAAGATGGGATTGGCTGCCGCAACGACACTGCAGCGAGCGTTGAGCGAAGTGTGGATTCCTGCTTTGGCGATCGTAACGGTTTGCTGCTCCATGACTTCGTGAATAGCTACGCGATCGACATCGGACATTTTGTCGAATTCATCGATACAGACCACGCCGCGGTCAGCGAGGACCATGGCACCTGCTTCCAGACGTCGCTCGCCCGTCTCTTTGTCCTGTGTGACGGCTGCAGTGAGACCGACGCCTGAGGAGCCACGACCAGTCGTAGCAATTGCAAGAGGAGCCGTGTTGAGGACGAAGCGGAGCAGCTGGGATTTCGCAGTGGAGGGGTCACCGACCATGAGTATGTTGATGTCTCCTCTCAGGTGGGTACCATTATCCAGGTTCTTCTCCTGACCACCCAGGAGCATGAGCAGGATAGCCTTCTTGATGTAATCGTGGCCGTAGATGGATGGGGCAAGCGACTGTGACAGGAGCTCAAAGACCCGCTTGTTCTTCGCAATCTTATTGATGTTCCGGATATCGGTGTCGGTGATTGGCGCCTGAGCAATACCGCCACCCGCCTTCGAAGAGAGCAGAATGACATTGTTTGCGAGGAGCAATGTGCGGAAGGTTGAACTGCCAGAAGAAGCATTGCGGTTACCGAGCGAGCGGTAGATGCCCACGAGCTGGATTCTATCGCCCGGCTTGACACGGTCGACGAGATCGTCATCCAAGATCACATCGACGGAACGTGGAAGCTGGCCTGCAGGGGCGCGCTCGGGCATTTCTTGGATGGAAACGACTTGGTGGTCCCTATAGATGCAGTAGCCGTATTCCGTGGTCAACTACAGTCTGGTCAGTATCTCAAATTCCTCGTGTCGTCCAATAGCGCATACTGGGTTCCCATCATCATCCTCAGTCGGATACACGCTCGTGCTGGCCGCACCCATGGTCATGGTCTGATCCCTATACTCCCTAGAGTGAAACTTCTGTTTATTCTCGCTATAGTGAACACTCTTGACAACCTTCGGCCGCACAAGAGACGTCTTAGTCACAATTCCTTCCAGCGACACCATACGGTTTAGCTGGTTCGAGCTCAGCGTGCGCGGATTGCATGCGAATTCGCCAAAGCTGCCGATATAGGCGCAGTAGTATACGACATCCTCCGAGGTCTCGCTTTTAGGTCGATCCGGCAGGGTTTTGACCACGGCCTTGAGGGCACTATCGAAGGCTTTTACGAAGTCGAAGGGCTCGTTGAGCAGTCCATCGGCCAATTCGCGATTGTGCGACCTGATCTCGTCCAAGCTGACCTGCATAATCTCAGCATCTGCACATTACGTCCGCGAGATAAAACATACTGTGAGCCTTCTTAACCCTCGATTCAGCATCACCAGGATGTCTGGACGATAGCTGGCGAAGTCAGTATAGGCAGCGATCAGGGGCACGTGCAATTGACGCTGTACCTTCGCGCAGAAACATCCTCTTTGCCATGGTTAGCAACTGCAACTGCAACAAAATATTGCACAACATACGTGGATCTAGAAATTCCTCCGCGAGCCTAATGCGCCTGCGAGTATCCTCGTCTCTAATCACCTCCGTCATGCTTCAGGATTTCGGGGTGTTACGAAACAGGTTTTTGCGTCTTCACGGTCCTCTGGTCCTCAAGGAAGCAGGAAATCTGCTTAGAAAAGACGTGGGTATCAAAGAAGTGAAGTGTCGTTGCGATGTTGGGATCCTTCTCTTCCAGTGGGGTGAATCGGGGGTTGGCGCTGGAAAGCGCGTAAAGTGGTTTCGCGTTCGTGCCCCCTTCAGGTCTTGGCGCGTGTTAGCGCGACACCACTGCCCACTTATCTGCCCCTTCTGGGACTAGCAGTTTCCAAAGCAAACTTCACTCATCCTCTTACTTTCACTCCTCAGCATCCTTCCAACGTCTGCCAGGTTCCACAGAGGTGAGTCCCCAAGCTTGCATGTCTGACAGTTGAATGACGTCGTCCTGCGGTTTACATAAGTGTCCATCTGCACTGGTGCTCGACAGTCTTTGACTCTGGACTTCTCTCACGCGCATCATTCCCAGGCATTAGCGCATCTGGCTCCCAAGGCCCCATCGATGTTCCTCAGCCAAATATCTCCTTTCCCAGTACTACAGATCTTCGCTGTTTCAAAACTTCCCCCTTTACGTCCGTGCTTTGGTCGATGATACCACCACTCTACCTGCCGTAGTTCCTAATGACTGTATCCATGTGAAGATGTCCGGCCGTGCGGCTGCTCAACAACAGACCGAAGAGTTTATGCAAACCAAATTTTTGTAATTTATCGTACCAGTGAAGCGGTAAAGTCCAGCCTTGATATTCCCTATCGAGAACACTACCGAGTTAAATAAGTTTTTAACATGGCACATAATCTCATAACTTCGTTACATATCCTGGATATTCTCTTTCAAGTTCAAACGCCCCGAATTCCACCCTTACGAACCACCAAAGGATCCTTTGTTCTATCCATCCCGTCCCAATTCGCATCTAATAAAGCTAGACAACAACCGGCCATCCAGAGGAAAAATCTAGATAGTTGAAACCGAAGAAGAATTGATCGGCGTTGTAGCCAACCGAGGGTTTAACTGTGACGCTGGATCAGCCAAAGTCCCCGAATATAAATCTAGAGATGGTCCGGAACTGAACTCACCATAATGGTAGTAAATAACTGGACTTTTCATATCTGGGTCGTACATTACCCCCTGTCCGCCAGGCGCATATACATCGTCGTGACTCCCTAGCACGAGCGTTCCACCACTTTGAGTCAAGCAATCCTTACCTGACTGGTCCACGAATGGTCCCGTGATGCTATCCGATCGGCAAACGATAACCCGATATTCATCTCCTGGCTTCGCAAGATTTGGCGGTGTATTGCAGCATGCACCGGCCGAGTAGAACACGTAGTAGTAATTCTGCCACTTGAACTGATAAGACCCCTCGGCTACAGCAGCGTTAATAGTCGAATTACTAACAATATTCTTCGGCGTGATGCCAGAGAATTTTATTGGCGAGTCATTCAGAGTCGTTTGGAATATATCGTTCCAATAGGATCCAAAGGTGAGATAAATTGGGGAGTTATCGGACTCTTTGAACAGATTTGGGTCGATGAGGTTGTACTCTGCGCTCTTCGGCAGACCAAGGCTGCCGTGGTCCGTCCAGGACCCAGGATCAAGGGTCGTCGAGGTCGCAACTCCAATATCTGAGGTTTGAATCCCCATTTTGCTAACCGCGTAGTAGGCGTAGAAAGTCTCGTCGACTTTAAACACATCGGGAGCCTATCGAATGTCAGGGGCGTTTTGCACGTCAGGTGATCGGACAAGGTAAGCTAAACATAGCAATAGTGAAGACAAGCAGGAAGAAAACCGTTCGTACCCAAATGTCCTGGCCATCAACAACATAGATTGAAGTGCCATGCTCCAGCAGTGCGCCTTTGTACGTCCACGGACCGGTCATGCTGGGCGCAGTTGCAATGGCAATGTTGCCACTTGTAGAAAAACGGTAGTATGTCCCATCTTTCTGAATCACACTTGGATCATGTATCCAAGTACAATTTCCAGAACAAGGCTCAGGATTAGGGAATGCTCGTTTCTGGATGGGTGAGGCAGTGACAGCTACTAGGCAGCAAAGACCCGAAAGCAATGTGAAAAGCTGCATTTTAATTTCGGAGATGCGACAGTAGTTCAATGGGAAGAGCTCCAAGCAATGCAAATGGCGAGCAGACGCAAAGAGAAATCTGCTCCTTTATACATGGGCTGACTTGAGCCTGTCAGTGTCACATCTTTGAATCGGCATGTGCCGAGTCCTTGATAGTGGTAGTCAACCTCCTTCAACGGCCACTAGATTCAAAAGATGTATCATACACAGCCCTATGCCCGGTCATTCTCCGGAATTGCCTTACCGGACTACCACCCATAAACGCCCTGTATTCCCCTCTTGGCGATCACTGGAAGCCAAGTGCCAACAGCTCGAAGCCGCCGCCTAGGCAACAAATGGGATAGGTCAACATGCACCCTACGAGGGGTTATCAACTCTAAATTGTTATTCGACTTGACCACTCGCCCGTGAGAGTTGTCATCTGAGTCAAAACGCGGTGTCAGGGGTCACTCTCTGGGTTGGCTTAACCGTATTTTGGCCGCCACGTGCGTGAGATTCGTTGGCATGTATAAGAAAAAAAAATTAGCGATAGAGGGGAGAGTGCGTAGTCGGAGAAACCTCTCCGACGACAGCGCTTGAACGGTCATCATGAGCCTAACGACTAATTGTCGTGAACGCCTTGTTTGTACACTTGAAACTAAGGAATAAAGTGTGGTGGAGACACTTAGAACGAGCAAGTGCTGATTTGTGTTCCTATCTGGAACGTGGTCAGACATCCTGGCTCGAATCGGAGCAATCCAGATGGGCGGTGCAACGTGGTGAAGAACACAGCCTCATCCCTGCATTCTTTGACTAACAGCACCGCCGCTAATGGCAGCGTATGTGTTTCACCCTTGAACGCCTAATCATAGCAGGTCAAGACTCTCTGTCAAAATTTATCGTTTCCAAGGTTGTTCTTCTGCTGCCATACCATTACTAGAGTGATCCGAGAGAGCGGGTTGCGAAAACAGGCCACTTTAATAATGCAGACGAATTGTACCCAGAAATGAAATTCTTTGTTTGTCTTTTTATTTGCTTTCGTGAGAGGGAAAGTGTTGTGCAGAAACTGCGGTGAATAAATATGTCCCGGACATGATGCTTCCACCAGACTCAGCGAACAACTAGCTCGGAGCCTGATATCCATCCACGTCAGTACTGTTACTCAACTTTTCGAACCTCTTCAAATTATCCGAATACCTCTCCAGCTTCTGATTGATCATCTTGAAAGCGTCCGTACCCACACAACACCTCAAAGGCGGGTCTTTCATGACTGCCAGGTCATAGAACGCGTTAGCGGCCTTCGCTGGATCACCGGCCTGAGTACCATGGCGTTTTCCCATTGCTTCTCTAGCATTCATGTGGTCGTATGCGGGATTTTTATTCTCGCCAAAGTCCATGCTGCGGCCCGCCCAATCTGTTCGGAAGCCGCCCGGCTCAATGAGAGTGAATTTAATTCCCCATTCAGGCTTAACTTCTTTCGAAACTGCTTCCGTGAAACCCTCTACAGCCCACTTAGATGCACAGTAGATCGAGAAGTTTGGAACACCTATCATTGAGTTAACCTTGGCAAGGAATATTGTCAAGTAGACGCTAATATATTGCTTACCAACTTGGCCGCCAACAGACGTAACCTGCTGGATGATTCCTCCTGTCTTTAATTCCCGCATGATTTCCATTGCCTTCCGCGTCACGTTTATAAGGCCAAACAGGTTAACTTCCAACTGCGTCCGGATTTGTTTGTCGGACAACGATTCAAACTCTCCGGCCAACCCATACCCTGCGTTGTTGACGACGACATCAACTCGTTTGAATTTCTTGATTGCAGCATCAAAGGCTTCATCAATGGAGGATTCGCTCGTTACGTCCAGGTCGACGAGGAGGCTGTTGGACGTAGTAGCGCCTTCGAACGACAACTTCGAACTGTTCCGCGCTGTTGCGACTACGTAATCGCCATTCCGAAGAACGACTTTTACTAGCTCCGACCCAAATCCTGTAGAAGTACCTGTAATGAGGAAAACACGTGGAGCCATTGCATAAAATGAATGCTTCGATGGATAGAGCAGGAACCAAACTTAGAAAAAGCAGATCGTAACGAGGGATCTTTATGTCTACAGACCGTCACAGATCTAGCGCACGTCTTTCACTAGCATGGTCCTGTTAAGTGGAAGTCCACCCGGCTTAAGTCCGACAACGTCGATGAGGCATGTAATTACGACAAACCCCGCTATGCCTGAGGCGGGTCTCGGGAGCTTTCCAAGAGCCCCAATTATCATCGTCTTTCCTAATCAATTTCAGACTCAGGACTCACAGACGAATGGATGATCTTCTGGAATTTTCGAGGACACATTTCCATTGCCGAATAGGGTCACACGAAGGGCAAAAGCGCACTGAAACTATTTGAAAGCACCCTTCGGCTTGTTGAGTCGCTGGATGATGTTGGAGTAGTGTGAAGAACGAAGACCGACGATTGTGTGGAACACGAGATTATTGCCTCCGGAAGTGGCTGTTGGGTGTCGTCACGTGCCTCATTAGGTCTGTCGACCACAACACTTAATATCTTCACCCGCCCTTTTCTGTTCTTTGGGAGTCCATTCCCAGTATATGTAGACTATTTTGCATGGAAGTGGTTATCCCATGTGTTACGGAGCTATCCGCCAAGCTGTCTTCTTGCCTCACCATCAATTACAACACCCAATTCGCACCGATCATGCGTGAAAGAGCCGGCTAGCTAATTAGATCCGAGAATGTTCGGGTTTCTTCGCTAGTCCAGATCTGTCCAGAACTTGCATACAGTTCAGAGTAGAAGTCGACTTTCGCACCCTGAGAACCCGTTCTCTTAGCGGCACTGTGTTGTACTAGAATTTATGTTCCCTCGACAATAAAACGAAAGCTGCTCGAATCAGCCTTAACTCAAGGGTTTCAGTGGATCAAAGTCCACAACATGCTCTTCACTGAAATCGGGTTAGCGGCTTGGCGTGCGTCACGGCAAGCCGTCGGTCCTCAAGTCTCTATCACGCAACCTAACCTCGCCAAGTGACACGAAGTGAATTCAGGTTTCCTAGGGACCCGTTCTTCTACAAAAGAAGGGGCGTTGCCTAGGAGCCTCTATTTTTTACCCTCTCCACTAGAAGTCCCCCAGCCATCCCCGTTGAGCTCTGACCCGTCCGAAATGTCTGAAGCGCCTCATGATAGTGCGGGGGAACACCGTGGCTTAAAACAGAAGATTGAGCATCCGTTCCCGAATCTCCGTGAGAAGCTAAAGCAGACCCGCCTATACGATGCTAAGATCAAGGCAACACATCTGAAGCACAAGATGGGAAAGTTTGCCAATCTGCTCAATACGAATCACCGTCACGACGAGGAGCATGAGCAGAAGACGGATGAGAAACGAAGTAGAGTCTGTGAGGGCCACCGTTTCAACTCTTTTGCTCCCGAACGAGACGGCAATTTAATCAAGTGGTACGTTGATGGGAGGGACTACTTTTGGGTAAGAGCCAGTCGATCACATGCTCTTGAGTAATCTAATCGGGGCGCAGGCTGTGTCGGAGGCTTTGGAGAAGGCGAAAGAAACGATATACATTGAGGATTGGTGGCTCTCTCCGGAACTTGTAAGTCTGGTTCCATGCATGAAAAACTGGTAACTGATCAGCTAGTTCCTGCGTCGACCTCCTTACTACAATCAAGAATGGCGTCTCGATCAAATTCTCAAGCGGCGAGCAGAGGCTGGAGTTAAGATTTATATCATCGTGTATAAGGAGGTAAGATCCAATGCTATCCTAGCTTCTCCTCCGAGTTGATAAACCTAGGTGTCAGCAGCGCTCACCTGCAACAGCCAACATACTAAGAAAGTCATGATGAATCTCATTCCCGAAGGCAAACCAGGCTACGGCAATATCAAACTCATGAGACACCCAGACCACAACGTACTTGAGAATGCTTCGGATATGACGTTCTACTGGGTAAGTATCTCGACATTTGGTGTTTCACATCGCAGAAGCTAACTTCCCTCCCGGCACATCATGAAAAGTTCATTGTCATTGATTATGAGCTTGCCTTTATTGGTGGCCTAGATCTTTGCTATGGCCGCTGGGATGAGAAACAACATCCTTTAGCCGATGTCCATCCTTCAGGTGTTCAAAACGAGATTTTCCCCGGTCAGGACTTCAACAACAACCGTATCATGGACTTCCAAAAGGTCGAGGACTGGAAATCAAATCAATTGAGCAAAGCTGAATATGGAAGGATGCCATGGCATGACGTCGCCATGGGCGTGATCGGTCCTTGCGTTTGCGACATCGCAGAACACTTCGTTTTGAGGTGGAACTTCTGCAAGCGCGACAAATACAAGCGAGATGACCGGTATGATTGGCTCACGTTAGAAGGCCGAGAAGGCAACGATGAAGACCTGGTTGGTGTCCAGAGGCCGAAATTTCCTGTTGGTGACTACACCCATCACCCACTTAGCCCGCTGAGTACGAAGAACCTTGATAATCGCGGAACAGTTCACGCGCAGATCGTTCGGAGCACCGCAGATTGGAGTAGTGGGATTCTTCCAGCTGAACACAGCATTCAAACTGCTTATTGCGACTTGATCCGGGAAGCCCAGCACTACGTTTACATCGAGAACCAGTTCTTCATCACCGCAACAGGCGACAATCAGAGTCCGGTACACAATCAGATCGGGCGCGCTATTGTCGATGCAGTGGTCCGGGCTAGCCAAGAGGGTAGGAAATTCAAGGTCATCATTATCATTCCTGCAATTCCCGGTTTCGCCGGTGATCTCAGAGAGGACGCGGCAACAGGGACTAGGGCTATCATGGACTACCAGTACAAGAGCATCTGCCGTGGAAAACATAGTATCTTTGGTCGCGTTGAGGCCCAAGGAGTCGATCCGAAAGAGCATATTTTCTTGTTCAATCTCCGCTCGTACGATCGATTGAATGTTACTTCGAAACTGAAGGCTCAAGAAGAAAAATCAGGCATGAAATACTCGGACCTTCAACGGGTGGAGGCCGACGAGATTGAAGCCCCAGCGGAAGGTGGACAAGAAGCCAAGGAGAAGGCTGCGGATATGAGGCGACGATTTGAATCCTACCGTGGAGATGTGGGAATGGGTGATCAGGGAGGCATCATTGACGCAGATTCCATTGCAGATGATGCCATGCTAACTGAGAAGAAGCCAAGCAAAGAAGAATGGGAGGGGGATCCGGAGGATGAAAAGGAAAATTTCTTCCAAGAGGAGCTGTATGTGCACGCAAAGGTATGTATCATTGACGATAGGTATGTCATTTGCGGCAGCTCCAACATCAATGATCGATCGCAACTTGGTTTCCACGACTCCGAACTTTCCATCGTCATGTACGATACCGACAAGGTTGAAATCGAAATGGACGGTGCTCCATTCAAAGCAGGGCGCCACGCTCATACTCTCCGGAGCATACTCTGGCGAGAGCACCTCGGTCTCATCCCACCGCAAACCCTGGACGCCACTGAGGACCCGAATGCGCAGCCGCCGGGCAATACCCCGAACGACAATCTCGAAGGGCCCGAGTTTGACTTCGTCAAGGACCCGCTTTCGGATAAATTATGGAATGAGTGGTATGAGCGCGCATCTACCAATACTTCAGTCTTCAGAGACCTCTTCCATGCGGACCCGGACGATGAGATATTGACATTCGAGGACTACGATGACTTCACACCAAATCCAAAAAATGATAAGGAACACAAGCAGGGGCACTTGTATGATAAGAGTAGGCCGGTTGCGGAGATCCGGAAAGAGTTGGATAGGATTAAAGGGCATTTAGTGTGGATGCCGTTGAAGTTCTTGGAGAAAGCGGAGATGGCGGAGAAGGGGCTGCAGGTCAATCAGTATACCGAGAGCATCTATACTTGAAGCGGTTCTTTGAGGTAATAATGGAAATGATATGTCAGTGCTTGGGTACTGTGCATGAAAAGCATTACTACAATTAGGAGGTCTAGTCTGGAAGTTTGGGCGGGCTTTTGAATCACGTTAGTACCTCCCAACTCTGCTTGCATATTTTCAGAGACAAGGTTTGGTTTTCATTTCCTGGATTTACATTTTTGACCAGTGTTCCTTTCTTACCTGTGGAGTCTTAGTAATAATGTATTGCCAACGTCTTGTTAGCATAAGGACAGATTTAATATGCTTGTAGGTGAGTACATACGCAGTGCTCCGTTCGAGAAGACATGTTAAATCATTCCAACAATCGTTTCAATGTATCCTACTCTCGTTCGTTGCACTCTCACCACCCTCTACCGGTTCTATCATTTCGGCTATGTGAATAAACCTTCAGAGGCAAAACACGCAATCTTAGCATCCACATGTTGTCCTAACATTGTTTAGGACAGAAACCAGTCACCTTAAAAAGATCCCGCATTCTATTAATTGATCGAACAGATTAGACTAACTTTATTATTAATCCGCTACATGTAATGGTATTGTACAACACTTCTAGACAGCACACTTTATGACTCATCCTCAACTGCCCCTAAACACATTAACTAGCTAGGGACTCCTTCATAATCCCACCCACCCACATTCCTCCTTCTCCTCCCCCTCTTATCCTCTCTCCGATTGGCCGCACATTTCACAAAAAATGTCAAGGCCGCCAACACGAAAATAATGACCGCCGCCACCGTAGGCACAACGACAACTCTCGCATTGTTAGTGTCGTTAGGGGGTAAGTATGGACACGTGCCGTTGGTACCAATAACCCAGCAGTTTGGTACATCTAGCGCATTGAGGTTGACAAAGATCGGGTCGGAAAGGGGGTGGCTGGGGGAAGAGGAGGACTGGATGACGGACAAAAGATGTGCGTTTTCGAGGGGGGTGTGTGGGACGGAGAAGATGGTGTTGCGGGGGCAGGCTGTGTCGCCGGAGAAATAGTTCACAGAGTCTGCGGATATCGTCCAATTATAAGGCGTATCGGGGTGTTGACATGCGACGCGGTTTCGGGAGTTGCAGTTTACTGACCGCCAGCGTCCTGGGTATGGAGGTGTGGCGTATATAGCGGCGCAGCGGGTTCGAGCTGAGGAGTCGTCACTGGTGTTGTTGATGGGTTCACCAGGATTCCAGGACCATAGGGTGCTATGTGTGAAGGCGAGGTAGGGTTGGAAATCGAAATCAGCGGTTACGTTGGAGAGACTGCTGTTTAACATGGGAGATAGACCACAAGAAGTGAGGTTCGTGATTGCGGGGATGGGGAGTGTGTCATTTGGATTCAGTCCGAGGTCTAGATCGGGGGAAGTCGCAATTGCCCAGGAGGAATTTGTAGACGTCGTAATCGTGAGGTCTATGGGTGCAAATAGACACCCAGATTCGATTCCCCCGTCCGAGGTGATCGAGGCGTTATGCAAAGAGCGGGTCGTCCCTGGGGCAAAGATAGTGTTGGCATCTGCCGAGAAATTGTAGTTGGCCATTTGAGGATCCACGGAGCCAAAGCTGGCAACTAGCCTATAGAACTTTTTAAACACCATGTACGCCTCATTCGGCCATCCATTTTGTGTGACTAGGAAGCCCTCGGAATTCTCTGAGGTTTGGTAGTAGCCTCTTGCAGGAAGAGTGTCTGACTGGACGTCAAGCCAAGTTTCATTTAGATTATTGCGATCTTCCTGCAACTGCTGTGGTGTATATAATTGAGATGACAGATTACTGTTTATGATGATACTCAGCAGGTGCTGAGGCCCTGGGAGTTGCTCAGTGGTAAGCTGCTGCGCAGGCGAATATGGTGATGCGTACGGAGAGGCAGCATGGATATTGAGGAATAAGTACGTAGTCACGGCATCAGTCGTAGTTCCTGAAGCATCTAGATAGTCTTGAAATACGCCGGTGAGGTATCCTAGTGTCATGATTGACGTGCAATTGTAATCACCAAGCTGCAACAGAGGGACACTTCCATCAGTGGGGAACTTGACAGGGATCTTGGACGACACCGCACTTATGGACGAAGCCAAAGCTGTCACAGTTTCAGCAGCGGTCAAACTGGCTGCAGGAAGTATGTTGCCTGATGAAAGTGGAGGCGATCCTGATACCGATTCGGAGGTTGATGCATCTTGGCGTGGCCAAATTGGTATGGCATTCTCCTTTGGCAGATAAGTCGGAAGAGCGGCTTCCCATGAGAAGCGGATGTCCCGGATGTCGCGGGCATTGCGCGTCGGTGGGGAGATACTTCTCTGCGCGGTCGAGAAGACGGTATTGATAGCCGTGATACCTGCCGATTCTGCTTCTAGTCCTGAAGGGGGTATCTGAACTGGGCACAGACTCCATTCGGAACGGCCTGTATCCCAGTATACATCGACCAAAAATCTCCGAAATCCAACAGAAAATAAATTAGAGAAACATTTCTTAAATGCTTTGCTTTCATACTGGTTTTTGGAGAAGCAGGCAGCTCTTAGTGATACAGCTGGGGCGGTTACGAAATTGATCGGTATCCGCAAGGCTACATCCCTCTGAGCCTATTAACGTATTAGGAAACTGCTATACAGGAGTGCATTAGAGGCATGGCAGGATATCGTCATGTGATATCGGTGACATACTCTGAAAGCAAATTCCCAACGTTGTACGAGCTTTGCGCCTGTGTCTGGGTCGTACAGTGACGACATGTGAGAAACTAATAAGACTGTAGCCGGACAAAGATATGTCAAAAATAGTAAGCCCGAAGGTATGTGCAAGGAATTAGATGATTAGGGCAGGCATCGGTGATTGTGTTTGAAGGTCCATCCTTCCCAGGCTCGAGTGATGATGAGGCTGCTCGGATGTCGTTTGATCGACGATGCAATCCGGGCAAACTACTCCACGTGATGAGGCTAGTCGGCAAATTTGAGTAGCGCACCGGGTAATACTGGAAAGGCCAATCAGCACTTTCTGCATGCTCCTGGAATAAAGTCTGTCAAGAGGGTGGGCTAAGCACCCTATTCGTAGTCGCAGATGAAGTGGCTTGCAGGGTATCCCTATTAGCGTGGTCGAAAGAGGTTGCTTTAAAGCGGCCAGGAAAGCACTCCTATCAATTGAATGGGAACCGGGATTCTGCCCGGTCCCTTCGCGCGCTCCACTTCTTAAGACAGCAATTAAGCTCAGGATCGGGACACCGCCCCTCTGTTTCCGTCCCCGGCGGCACGTCTCTTGCTAACCTTAGCGAGAATCTCCCGATGTTGTCTTCACGACTCACGGAAAGGATCAATGAAAGACCCCAGCCAAGTGGGAACATAGCCGTGGGAACCTCCGACCCAAGACAAAGGCCTCAACGGCCGCCCGCGCCCTGATCTCCTGGTAAAATAGCACCAAAGGCTCGAACCGCGCTGCCAATTGCAATACGGTTTTCCGAGTCCGGGTTCTTGCTCGCACAGGCTTCACTTCATCCCGTCGCTCCGTCAACCTCTCGCTTCGCCATCGCTTGCCATGTGTGAAGCCTTTGCGCTGGATATGGGGAAGGGGACGTGCTCATGTTTTTACCCCTCAGAGTTACCCAGGCGTCACGCCGTTCTTTCCACGTATACGAAGGGCATGTCCTTGAACTTGCAATCCTCCATGCAGCAGCAAATTGCATGGCCGGCCTCGCCAATTGTCAGCTGAGTTGTGTCTTTTCTGGCTGGCTGGGAGTCTTCCCATGTCGTCCCAGAACCTGCCTTTGCAGCAAGCATGTGGCAATTCCAATGCTTCGACGACGTTTGACGCCGTCTTCTTGGAAAGCGAGCCCGAGATGCATGCTCAGGCCTGGACCACAGTAGTACCCTTTAGTCATCGCAAGGAAGCCGGTATCGTGAAATCTACCGTTATGGGTAGCTACGTTGTCGGACCCGGCGGACTGTTTACGTGTTGCTCGCATGTATAAGCGGCTGCACACCTTGTTTCTGCACCGGCGAACCGTTCTCCGTCGGCTTCACATGTATGTAGCAGGTCGTCGCTGGTGATATACGGCGACAGCAGTTGAGAAGTCGGGGCAGGTGCCGCAGCCAGAAACAACCGGCGAAGTCAATTGTTGGAGGCGACTGGGTATCCCAGAACCAAAATTCGCCTGATGCCTCACAACGTGACCTTGAAGTGGAAAGTGTTAGTGACAAGAGTCGTTTCACCATCCGACCACGGTACTCGATCAAGCCCATTTCACTATGAAGATTATCGCTGCCCCTGCCTTAGTGGACGGCTCATGAGACATAAGTCCTGCAGGACGTTGGGTGAGTGAAGGGCGCAGGTGCCGATGCAGAGTTTGCCTTCTCCACCAGCACCAGAAGGCCAATGAACGGCGCTGCTGTGGATGAGCTGCAGCTGTTTCACCAGGTCCCTTCGGCATATCACTCGGGCAGTAAGTTCGCAACGCACTTTGCGCCTTCTCTTCTAAGAGCAAGGTCTGGCGCGAGATTCCGCGGACAGACTTTCGAATTACTATTGGTAACATCTTTTGAGAGTGCAGAGAAGTCGACACATGATGATGAGTAGTGGGAAAGTGGTACCTAGGAATGCCATCAGAGCAAATATTCCCACAAAAAGGCCCATCGCTGCGCAGTGCAGCGACACTGAAAACTCTGTAGTCCGCTGTATCCTAGTCCGCTGAGTAAACGCCGTGAATTACCAAACCCCGCTGCATAGGCAAGAAGTGAAGCGGCCTTAGACCTTCACCCAGTGCCATTTTCCGTAGTTCCTACATTATGGGTATCCCGAGGCCGTACTATAAGATCCCAGCCTGATTTTGGTAAGAAAAGAAATCTCTGAATGAGATGAGATGAAGCTGAATGCCCGCAAAGTAAATCATTAACAGGTAGTAAAACTAGCCGTATAAACAAGAAATCCTTGAGAAAGGAAGTTTGGGGGTGTGTATAACAGCATGAGGATAACTCGAATTCAAGTACAAGGAGAGCTACGATAGCATGGTCGCAAGGTTCATCCTGCTATCCCGACTGCCACTCTGTGGAGAGGCAGGAGCGCTCTTTGACTCGGTATCGACTCTGCGACCGAAGTGGTCAAAGGGCGACGGAAGCTGGCGTGAGGATGGGCTCATAGTCCCAGGAGAAGTGGGTTGTGCATGCGATACACGCTCTGTTTCCCCAAGAGAGTAGACAGAAGGCAGTGGCCGCTGTTCCGTGGCGAGTGGTGTAGACTGTGGTAGGGAGTGGTAGTGTACAAGTTGAGGCGCAGGCTGGGTGAGTAGCGGCTGCTTTCCAAGTTTGTAATTTGGCTCTCGGAAAGAAGGAGCCGATGCTGTAAGCTCGGTGCGGTGCAGAGGTGGGAGTTGCACGGACGCCCGCCTCTTGAACTGATCGTAAGGAGCTGACTGGCCGTCATCTTCAGTTGCGAAGCCCGACTGGGGCAGGTATCGAGTAACCGAGTTCTTGCGCTCATCTCTGCCACCTACCAATGGTGCAAGAGTGAATTCGAGAGGCGATGCTGCTCCACGAGGCGAGCGTGACTCTGAGCCAGTGTCTGTAATGAGTGACGGGGCACCGTCAGCCGAAACGATGGAGTAGACAGAGGGTGAAGGCATGGGAGTTTCGTAGCCGCGCCCCCTTGAGGCCGAGAAGGGATTGGCGAACTGGAGCTCAAGAGGCTGTGGTCGTGATCCTGAATAGGCCTCGAAGTTGTGTGGTTGAGGCAATTTGAGTGCCTGAGGACTGTTCATTGATGGATTCAACGACGGTCGACGAGACTGCGAGTAGTACGACGCCGAATCAGGCGAGTCTCTGTTAAATAGCGGTGGTAGAGAATGCTGGGAGTGAGCAGGTTCTTCCGCGGCATCCAAATACTCTCGCCTTGGTCGTGACATTGGGGGGTATGGGTACCCAGGCGGCGACGCATGCATTCGCTCGTGACGCTCAGGATTGCGCTTTCTCCTGTTCTGACCACCGTTCCACCAATTTTTGACTGCGTTGTCGCTGCGGCCGTTGAGTCTTCGTGCGATCTCGGCCCATCGCTTCCCCATCTCTGCCACCATGCGCTCGATTTGCTCCCCCTCTTCTGGAGTGATCGGATCATGATTCAGACTTGGCTTGAGGTTCTGGTGATAGCGCTCCCGACATTGCTTTGGTGAGCGTGTCTGAATCTCTTGGGAAATGCGGACCCAGTTGTGGGGTCCGTTGCGATGGACGAGGCTGACAAGCCACTGATCCTCGTTCTGCGACCAAGGACCGCGGCGATGGTTAACCATTGCGCTAGGGTGGGGAAGCCTCCTATCGAGACTTCTTGGTTGACGTAGTTGAAATAATACAGCTGGTTGGGGACACGGATCTTCTGTGCGCCAAAGCACTGCACTTGAAAACGTCCAACGAGCCGGAAAACCTCTCAACAGGGAGTAGGATGACCGTTCAGGTTGTTGCGGTGGATATCCTCGTCGATCGGATTGGTTGGCGAACGTATTTTGAGTGACCACTGTGTGGCATGTTAGTGAGGGGTCCCCCGGTGCAGACATTGGAACGTGAAATTCACTCCGCTTGAAACGTGCACTGGCGAATTTTGCCTCGACAACGAACATCAACAACAAGCAAGAAGAAGCGGGCTTTGATAGGAATAGGAAAAGATTCAGAATAGAACGATGAGGTATTGAAAAATGTTGTTTAGAAGGGAGAAGTGCCATACCTTTATGGAACGTGGGTCACAGAGGAGCGCAACGGAAAGTGCCACTACGTAGGGCGAGGCTCTTTCTGGGTTTGAAGTGGTGTTTGACGTTAGGTCGGGATAGAACCAGTGGTTAGGAGCAGAACGGGCGACCGTGGGTCGAAGGATGATGAGTACGAGTATATATCACGGACGGGAATGGTTGCGGCGCCAAGGCGGTGAGAGGAGTTGTTGACTGCTTCGGGAAGGATAAGATGTGGTGCGAGGGCTCTGGCTTTTGAGATGCGGCTAAGGCGATGGTGAGATGGGTGCTGGGGGCGTCATGCGGCGGTCGAGGAGGTTAGGCTAGGTGGGCTAGCTGGCAAAGAAATCACGCTTGCGCTGACGGGTGGTCGCTGATGCAGGCCAGGATTCAGGGCGATCCGGAGCAGATGGTGAAGAAGGGAAGCACTGATGCATCGATGGACTGCTGGGAGCAATGGGAGCGGCGTGATGGCCGCGACTAATGTATGTGCAGTCGACAGTCCCCTTTTGGCGCAGCACACGCTTCCCAGCTTGGTGGACCAGATCGTCGGAATTGTGCGATCCCTTGTTGCACATCGTGGCATGGGATTTGGCACTTGCGACTGGGGCCGGCTGTTTTGCTGGGTTGTGGGGACGGACGACGCACACACTGGGTGGGAGTCTCTTCATTTTCCCGCAGCCAGCGACGGCGTCCCGTGCAGCGCCGCGGTCGATATTCCCCTTGCAACCGCCGCCGAAGCCAGGCCTCTCACCACTTGCGTCCACTGCTCGCGCGGCCTCGCAGCCTGGCCCACGCCTCATGGCCGGGGCAGCCCTGGCGGTTTGGCGGTTGATTCATGGCTGTTGCCGTCACTGACGCTGGCGGAGCGACCCCCCACCCCAAATCCCATCCTGTTTGTAAATACTAAAACATGTTGCCCGTCTCCGTCTCAGCCAGCCCACTGCGAGAACGACAGCCCTCAAGGTTCCAGGATCTGGGGTGCTGCGACCTCATTTCGCGGCCATCATTCGCCCTCTGCGCACCTCGTCGCCCTCCTGGTTCTCAGGCCTCAGCTGGCGTTATTGCCTGTGCAGTGTGAACCGTCATCCTGGATAGCAGGCCGGGCTGCTGCGGGACCTGGAATCTGGCCTGGGCACCAAGGTTGGGAATGCGCTGCTCCGCGTGAGCCTCCGCCGAGGCCCAGCGTCACTTTGATTGTCGTCGCAGAGCGAGTTTGCTTCCCTTCCCTTGTCTGCTACCCTTGCGCTCCCCGCGCTCGCCAGAAATAGGCCGCCTTGCCAAGGTACCGATACTTGGAGGCCTCAATTTGGATCTATGTGTTCGATCCGCTTGCTCACTCGCTGTCTAACAACACAGAAATTGATACAAGCAGCAGCACACTCCAGCATGTCGCGATGCACGTTGCGACCAGCGTCACCACTGACCAGTCGCGCTTTCGACAGGGTCGACGGTGGGCGATCAAACGGGCGCTGAGGCTTGATCGTGGACCGAGCTCAGATACTGATCGTCATGGCCATCGGTAGGGAGGACACGAGGTCGGCGACCAAAAGTCTTGGAAGTTTGGGCCCATCGCACACTTGCGCGCCGCCTCCTTTTTGCGCGCTGTGCGTGCCTCCCATGGGCGTACTCGCTCGGGCCTAGGCCTAGTTGTCTGGTGCTGCCAGAGGCCTCACACTTGGTTTGCAATGAGAGCTCTCCGTCTGGCTCATTGACGTCGCAGGGCAGCCGTTGGGCGACTTGGCCAGAAACCGATCAACCGGGCCGCAAGCAAAAAAAGAGCGAGCGAGCGAGCGGGTGTGCACGCCAGCGCGAGCATTCCACTTCGCCGGGAGAGCCATCGCTGGCCAAACGCCCTTAGTCAGCGCTGCAAGCCAATGGTGTGCCGCCGTTTAAACTCAAATACCAGCAGGCGCCTCGGCCCCGCCAAATCGCAGGAGCAGTGCGCCGCTCGTCATCCCGAAACAGGTCATGGCGTCTGCCCGTTCGAGCGAGCGCGCAGATGACGAGGACGGCTTTTGGCAACTGGTAGCTGCCTTGCCATCGCCATGAGCGCGGTGAGTCGTTGAGTCGTGACCAAGAGCGCGTCTCAAAGCGGCCATCGTTGACGAGCGCCTGGCCCTCCTGCAGCCAGTGGAGATCCTCGTCGATGTCCGCACAAGAGGATCGAGACATGTCATCGCTTTCCATGGTGTCGTATCCTAAACTCTGAATCCTGCCCGCCAGCCTGCCCGGCTCTCAGCGTGCTGTTGTCCTGCCCCAGTCTGAGGGCCTCCCATTACGCGAGCACCATGGGACCGGCAGGGCTCGTCAGGCCGGCGTGCTCCCACGGTGCTTTCTCGTCTGCGCTTGCAATGCCAGCCTGTCTCTCAAAGCTTGCCTAGCAAAAATAGACACAGCCTTGCTGTTCCTCGCACACTCGTTGTCGACTCCTGGCGGTCTGACGGCTCCGCCCCTGGCCGTGCGAACCCCCCCCCCCCCCCCGCGACAGCACGTCGTCGGGAGATGCAGCATTCAGGCAAAATGCGGCCGAGTCGCGGACAATATCAAAATGGCCAGCGGGGTCCCCGAGCAGTGGTCCTGGGCGTGCTGCTGCTGTGGCTGAGATCTGGGGTCACACAGATTCCGAGCTACTGGCAAGTGTCGCCACAGCGCAATGCTCTGGCTGGTCTCGTCTACCATTCCTGCATGCAGCCAAGTCTGCTCCCAACTTGCTGGGCAGCGTTAAACTAGCGAGGAACGGCTCGCCGCCTGTCTGCGGTCCCGAGTCAGCGCACTGCAGACTACCGGATCCCAACCAGGGCCTGTCCTGTTTTGGATCCATCCTCAGGTTCCTATCCTCCGTTCGATGAGCCCGCGGCCAAGCCTGCTCAAAATGACCTCGTGCATGCGTGATTCGATCAATCACGCAGCCTCGCCCACTCATCCCTCGCCCAAACAATCTCTGGCTCCGCTGCATCCTGTTCATCGTCGCCTTCCCGACCAACGGTTACCCGTGCCCGATCCCTCTTCAGGACCGGACAAGACTGCTCATCCTGATCCAGAAAGCTAAAAGCTGGACGTCCTCCACTGTCAATGTGACTTACCCTCATGCAGGTTCAGCGACTGAATAGCGCCTGATAGCTACGAATCAGCACACTTGTCACTAACCTCAAGGTTAAATAGCCATGCGCCTCAAGGCCCATCACAGATGGTCGTGCCTCGTCCCCTTGTCTGTCGTCGAGGTCTCAGTCCCTGTGAGAGCGTGTGGGGGGTCGTCTGAGTTGGGCAGCCCTGAGCCCGTCAATCTGGCGCCGCAACCTGTGTGACGGCGCGCAAACTTGTCATTTTGAACAGTCAACGCTTGTTGCTTTGTCTGCGGAGCGTGTGCGACGCTTCCGTGGCTAAAAGCACCGAATCCTGGTCGATATTCTGACAGTCGGTTGGATGGGTGCTTGTCTGCATGTCAGCCGCCGCCTTGGGAGCGCGACACGAGAGCCAAAAACACACACCAGCACCGTCGTGGAGTCCATGCTGCAGTTTCCCGTACTCTGGGACTAACGGTGGTTCCAACGATCCAGGGTGTGGCTCCTGTTGTGGCCATTTTGATGTCTGAGCATAAGTTAGTCTTCCGGGATGATGTTTAATTGTGTGTGTGGGATGCCTCCGGGGTCGCTCGAGCCAATTGACACATTCTTCTTCCAACACTCGTGCAACAGGCTCCAATTGTCGCAGCCGGCCGGAGATCCTTGGACGAACACAAGACCTGGACTTCGGAAGTCTCCAGAGGCTCAGGATATGTTGATTGATGCTGCACTCTCTGTCCCAGTGCCAGATCCCTTGCACATGCGCAGCACATACCCGTCCAACAAGGCTGCCGTGGTTTGCAATACTCAAAATAGGTCTGCACCTTGAACTCAGTCAATATTGGTTGTCATAGTTTGATTATCGTTGCAAGGGCAGCCCTCGAATAACGCAGATTCTGCACAGAGAAAAGATTTGCACGGGAGGAAGGGGCCGCTCCAGAGACAAGATTGGTAACTCTTCTCCAGGACAGTCCTTGCAAGCGCGAGTTGTCAAGGACGCGGGCAAACTCTATCTGGCCGCCATGGACCCGACTCGAGGGGAGAGTCGACGAGGAGTTGCCAGCAAGAGGCTCATGGGTCCCGAGGGCAGGGTAACGAAAACGGTTGTGGTGGTGCACACAGGCGTCTCATGAGTTCTGTCCATGGACCAGTATGCAGCACGACAAGAGAGGTCGGCGATGTGGACGCAATGAAGTCACGACGAACACGAACTGGGCTGCCACAATCGCATATTTTACGACCACAGGCCGTCTTTGTTTTTCCGTCCTGGATTTGCCGTTCGTCGCAGCTGACGGGACTTGCCATATCCTGGATGGGCGGCAATTTCCAGCGGAGGACGAGGGTGAGCGAGAGTCGAGACTGCTCACAGGAGTGACAGGACTGGCATTGGATGCAATCCCTTCATTTCCCCCCAACGTGTAATATTGCTTAGGACTCACGATGCACGCTGACGGGTGAAGGTTTCCAGCGGTTTGCGGCGCCGCACATGGATGGGCTCTCACAGTGTTCCCAGCAGAGGGGTTCGACAATGGTGATTCGGGGCAGACCAGCCCGCTGCTTGCGCAAGAAACAAAGCGACATGGAACCCCTGCGCACGATCTGCGGGATTTCAAGATTAACGAGCGTGTGATCGTCACCCGACGCCGAACCAATGGCGCCGCCCGGCCTCCAATGCATCAAGCATCCATTTCGGCCAACCTACCCGCCAACCTTTCACGCAAACTGCACTAGCAAACAGGCTCTGGCGCCGTCCCGATTCCCGCCGCGGGCCCCTTCTGGTCCTTCCTGTAACAGGGAGTCGGTCGTGGCTCCTGCTACCCGCGATCCCGTGAATTCGTTTTGCGGGCTCCTGTTTCGAGCTCAGCGCTCAGGACTCTGACAGCGGCACCCGGCTCCTGGTGCCATCTTACGCTCCCGACCGGTACAGGGCCGTCACCAACCCCAGCCGTCTAGCAGGACCGCCGTGGTGAGGAGAGAGCAGGGCGCGCAGAAGCAAGGCGCGGAGCCCACGAGCGACAAACTCTGGCGAGACACCGGTCGCTGCTGAAGCGCGCTGTTGACTCGACGCAGAACCCATTCGGCTGCTTTAGTGGGTATCTCTTCACACTTTCCGCCTTCTAGACGCAGCGAGATGCAGCATCAGGGCCGTTGGATCTGGGAGTGATGCCGAATCGGATCCGCGAGCCACACACCAATGGAGTCCAGTGCCCCTTTCTCTCCTCCCATCAAACAAAGCAAAAGCAACAGCTGTCCACTCACGATGCGTCTCCACCACAATTCCCCACCATTCTGGTGACGATGCATGCTGTCCCTTGACGTTTCAGGCTAACTGCGAGGGCTGCAAACTCTCCCTGCCTCAATCGCATTTGGGCCTGCAGCGCGATAATCATCATTCATCCCATGGCGCCTTGCTTTTGCGCCCCGCCAACATTTCAATATCAGCAGCTCGCTTTACCCTGGCCCTAATCCATCGCCCGATCTTCTTGTTACGACAAGGGTCGAGCTGGCTTCGGGACACGCTGCTCGCTGATCAAGCTCCGCGGGGATTGGCGTCCATCGATGCCGAACGATACGCCTTCCGCATTGGCCTGACTCTCACGACAATCGTGGTGACCGCCAAGCTATGTGATAGGGTTGTGAAAGAGGCAGACGCGGGTCGACCTCGCCGAAGTCACCGAATTCGTCCATCTATCGCTATCGAATTTTCACGGCACACACAACTGATCACTCATCTGTAAATGACTTATACGATTCAAGGCGCCAGGTGTCGAACCACAGCAGTGCTCCGTAGGACGAGTCCGTGTTGACGGATGTGGCCGCTGAACGGTCGGCCGGATCCCTTTCCTGAGCTGTATTGACCATCCGGTACATTGGATCTTTCCTTCCCAAAACGTTATTCTCTCTAGATCTTCGGGACTTAACTTGCACAAGACTAGCCGTGTGACAAATAATTCCAATGAAGGGTTCCGAATCTGGATATATCGCCATGAAAATCATTGTCAATTTCAACGTCATCTATTGCCAACGACTAACCGCACAGCTTCTCAACAGAGTTTCTTCATGCAAACCTTGTGTACCTTGCGTGCTTGAGATGCCGTTTGACTTTCCATGCAATTGCCTGAGTCGTGCGGGTTGCCTCCGTCCTGATCGCGTGGCAGAGGACTAGACTTCATCAGCTGCCCTGCTGCACTCATCACAGGAGTGCC